CGTTGACTTCAGCAATATCCCACCAACCCCGCAAGCTGGGAACCCAAAAACATTAAACTCAAGAACTCTAGACCTTCAAGCCTGACTCCTAAACCCTAAACCCTGAATCCTAAACCCTAAACCCTAAAGCCTAAACCTTTAATCCTAAACCCTAAACCCTAAGCCCCAAACCCTAAATCCTAAACCCAAGACAGAGCTACAGAGTTGGTCTTCGCAACGCACATCTCCATGAGCTCTACAAAGATGTTGATGCAGCCAAAGGCCGCTCTTCCAGCGAAAAGCATGAGAATCCTCTAGGGGGATATATAGTGGTTATAGGGGTTTAGGGTTTAGGGTTTAGGGATATGGAGGTTTCCCGAAATTAGGGGTACTATTTTGGGGGTCCCCATTATAAGGACTATAGCATATTGGGGTCTATATTGGGGTACCCTAATTCTGGGAAACTGCCATATAGTGGTTATATAGGGAAAATGGAAAAGAAAATGGAAACTACTACAGTATAATGGGACTGTGTAGGGTTGAGGGTTTAGGGTTGTTGGGGTTTAAGGGTTTGGGGTTGAGAGCTTGGGGGTTTTGGGCTTAGGAATTAAGATGCAATTTTTGGTTTACGATTGAGAGACTGCTCCGTTGACCACTACCATTGCGATGACTACGTGCTTTGATGGTTTGCTTTCACCATTCACTTGGGTTCTTCTCAGAACCGAATCCCTTAAAGCACCCCATAATTCTTGAAAACCCTACACCCTGATCCGCAGACCCTTCATTAAACCTCATCCTTACCCCGAATCCCTAAACCCTAAACCCTAAACCCCTAAACCCCTAAACCCTAAACCCCTAAACCGTAAACCCCTAAACCCCTGAACCCTACACATTCCAAGGCAACCATCCTGGCAGTGCGTGTAAATCCCCAGCTTCCTGCAAATTGCTCCGCGGAGGAGCAAACCTAGGCTCTTAGGGTTTAGGGTTTAGGGTTCAGGGTTTGGGGTTTAGGGTTTAGGTTTTAGGGTTTTGGGTTTAGGGTTTAGGTTTTGGGTTTTGGGCTTAAGGGTCTAAATGATTCTAAATATATCCCTTTAGAATAAGTCCCCTTGAGGAAGTTGGAGTATGTCTGGGGTTCTGGTTTTGGAGTAGTGGAGCATCAAATACAAGGTTTTAGAAGGTCTTCTGCATTTGATTTTGGAGCGGCCTCGGACCTAAACTTAGGGGAAAGAAATGTATATAGTCCCCCTTAAGTAGATAGAATGTTAGGATTCTATTGGGATAATGGAAAAGAAAATGGAAACTACTATTTAGGGTTTAGGGTTTAGGGGTATAGGGGTATAGTCCCCCTTAAGTAGATAGATTATGGCTTTGGGTTGGTTGCAATAAGATCCCCATATACCCCATATTCTATCTACTTAAGGGAGACTATAGGTTTTGGGTCTTCATGGGTCCCTTTTGGGCGGGGTTCCACGTTCGTTTGCGGAGGCAAGACTTCCTTCAGCCCAATCCGAAACCCTAATAATCATAGCCCGAACCCCAGATCCTTACCCCTCATCCCTGCACCCTACACCCGTAGCTCTATGGCCGAATTCCTGGAAGCTCCCCCCAAAAAAATCACTCCTCCAAGGCTGATCAAGAAGCAAAGCACAGCAAGGCACAGCATGCAGAAGCACAGATCACCACGCGGTAGATAAACCATTGATCCCAAGGCTGCACCAAGCCTAAGATGCCAAAGAGATGGGTTTAGGGGATCACAGATTTTGCTGGGGATCCATTCTTGCCTGACTTTTCTGCCTGAAGGGTCTAGCTGGCTTGAGAGTTGGGTTTGGGGTTTAAGGTGTAGACTCTAAGTTTAGAGTTCAGAAGGAACCCACTTTGGAATTGGGAAAGCATCTACTTTTCCAGGTCCTGGGGACGTCTCGTCAGCAGCGAGCCAATGATGTACAGGAGAAAAGGAGCGCTTAGCAGCAAGCCTGAAACTCCTGGGTAGCTGTTAAGGAACTTAACTTAAGTTACTATATTGGGGCAAACCATATCAATTCCTCTATATATGTATACCCATAATGGTAATTTAATGTAAGTCCCTTGACAGAAAGCCAGGCTCCTGCTCCCAAACCGAGGTGTTTCGCAAATCCGTAGGACGTGGGTATGGCCACTGTGATGGTCATTGTGTCCATACAAGCAGTTGCAAAGAGCAAACCGGCAACTCTGTGCCCGCATCGCTTCCGCAATATGCCACTGAGCAGAAAATATCCACAGACACCTAGGAAAAAGATGATGATCAGAGATGTTGTCAACTTAACTGCCATCCGCTCACCATCGCTTGGAGCAGCACTTGCGTTTTCCACCCCAACCTCGTGTTCAAGAGCTCGGGTCTTGATATAAACATGGCTATTCCTCTTGTGGTCTATGGCTTGCAGGGCTTCAAGCCCATCCGCTCTTACAGAGATGGCGACATGTGCCGAAGTCCATAGGAGCAGCGCGGCCAAAGCGGACATCATGGATGGGACTATGCTACAAGTGTATGGCGGGCCTGCATGGCCCTACAAACCTACGGTCATCTTGAGCCGAGCTGAACAACAACTCAGCAATAATCTGAACTCCTAGTAGCCTAGTATCCCCCTTAAAAACCCTATAATACTGCCCTGTATAACCCCTTTAAAGGAGTTTAGACTATAGCTCAACTGTATTTCTGCAAGATCTACTAAACCCCAAAGCGTATCATCAAGTCATAGCTGCCACTAACTGATGGCCCACTTCCAAGTTCTCATCCATTGCAGGTCTCAACGCTGAAAGGGTTTAAGGTCTTGGGCTGAGGGCTTAGGATCTAGGATCTAGGGTTTAGGTTTTCGGGTTTAGGGTTTGGGATCATCTCCCATCCTCCTCAAGCTGGGAGAGGCATGCAAATCAACATGTAAAGGGAGTTTAATGGGAACCCCAAGCAGGGAACCCCAAGAATATAGTAGGAATATAATAGAATATGAGGACCCTGGTAGGTAGGTACATTCCTATTACATTCCTACTACATTCTTGGGGTTTTCTGTTTGGGGTTCCCAGTTAAATCCCTTTAATACTATTGTAATAAATTGGCCTCAATGACCAAGGTGCCTTCATGTTGCACTGCCATCAGAAACCCCCGCAAACCATGGATTACTGGGTTGCTGTTAAGGAACTTAAGTTAAGTTACTAGAATAAGGAAACCCTGTTACTTACTATATACACATATTATGGTACGCAACTTGATTGAGGCCCCTTAACAGCAACCCAATAGACGCCCTTTTTCTTGCTTTTCTGTTGGCTGCAGGGCAGAAATCTTGCTTTCCATGGCCCGTATGCTATTGCTGATTTCACTGCGTGAAATCAAAGCGAATGAGCGAGGCTGCTGCTTGCCCTCAGCCCAAACAATAAAAGGTTTAGGGTTAAGGGTTTGGGGGAAACCCACAGCCATCTCATTTGAAGCTGCGCCTACCTCAGCTTTTTCGGGGCTGTCTGGGTTTTGGAAATTTGGGTTTCGACTGTAGAGGTTAGGAGGACCTCCCACCTTGTAATAGTGGTATAATAGGAATACAAGAGGACCCTAATATAATCCTTACTGTTCCTTATAGTCACTATTACTGGGTGGGGGGTCCACCTAATGTAGAGGTTTCATGTAGACATTAGCTTGATCTCTTGCCAAAGTCATTCCAGGGTTTGATGCTGCTGGTCTATGCTAAACCCTAAACCCTAAGCCCTATATTATGGCCCTAGGGCGAAAACTTCAGATAGAATATGAAAAGAAATGGCTGGAAGTTCCCTGCGACTTACATACGCTACACGAGCTCTCGGCTAAATGTGTAGTATATCCCTTAATAGGTCCCCCCCAACACCCTATAGAGTACCCTATAGGGCCCCCACAACCTACATTCAGTCCGTAGCTCACATGGCTGCATGTATCTGCACTAGGAATGCGAAAAAAGTATGCTACTTCCTGCTGAAGAAACATGTACCTTCCCAGCTTCTGAGCTGGTCCAAGCCCTTTGCACAGGAAGAACAATACTACAGGGGCCTAAATAATTACTTATATTTAGGGTTTAGGTACAGGGTTTAGAGTTTAGGGGCCTAACTAATTACCAATATCATTTTGAGGTCCATTTGAGGTTAAAGCGGACAGAAGTCATTGGCGATAGAAGGT